GAATTGCGGGTTTGAGGTAATGGTGACGGTTTGGAGTGCCTTTTATGTTTGTAAGGCACTTGAGATTGGTCACTCAAAGGACAACGGAGGTGCTGCTTTACTGAGCATTGAGCTTATTTTAACTAGCAATTCACAGCCTACTAATACAAACAGAGCTCTCAGTAGAAAATATAGTAACTCCTCCTCTGTGTAATCCATTACATGACTGTAGTACTAACTAATTTGCTTTAGTGCTAATTTTAATTATGAGTAGGACTGCAGAGTGTGAAGGAGTCTGTGCACTTATTCCATGGAGAAGTCCTTCTTACAAAGGACTTTCACACAGTGAGAATCAGTATCATACAAGTTTGTTAGACATCTTTGTATAAATCTTTTTAAAAATGTTACAAATACTTTGAGTTTAAAGACAAGGATTATGTCACATCCAAAAATCTGTCTTCTGGCAAAAATTAGGTTAGAGAGAAATGCTTGAGAAAGCATTTAATACCCTCCCTAACTTTATAGTGTTACACACTGACCATGTATTGCTGGCTGGTTTCAATTGTCATTTTCTTTCCTGAATCCCAGTGCTTCACTGGGAGTAATTTTCCTTGTTGTAGTATAATATCCAGCTGAGTTAAATGTCAGTGCAATTTTTAGTGGTTTGGTTGTTTTTTTAAAGGTAGCCATAGCACTTTCCTCTGAATTTTCAGTTTGAAAGAAGGGATTGATGACAATGTGGCTTACTCATTGCATCACCTGAAGGGCCAGCTGGTATGTCAAGTAAATAACTCCACAGTCCCTCTTCCTTAAAAAGTATGCAGTCTAGATGTGATAGAGTGGAGCGAGTCATGGAGGTCTTGGGAGTAGTTTGTAGACTTCTAGACTTGTAGGTAAATATTTAAACCATGAGAACAAAGTGTGGGGTGAAGGGTGGGTGCAGTCGTGGGGCTGTGACAGCTTCTGCTAGGTCCAATGCCACTGGAGTATTTTGTGTAAGTACTAAGCCTTCATTACTGCTGGCTGAGCATCCATGAGGAGAGGCAGGAAAAGTCCTCGAGCCTCTCAAGATAACCACTGGGATGGGAAATTTTGACACAGATGTTTTCCTTTACTCTATATAATGTCTCTTGGGTCTGTGCTCTGTCATCTCTACCTTTACTCTGTGCACCTCAGTAATGGCTGTCATACTTTTTGCTTACCAAAAAATTACTGAGTGGTAGTGGGGAGAGATTAGGGCTTGACAAAAAGTTGAAATTCTCGTCAGCAATAGAGATATTAAGTAGAAGTTTCTATTGCTTATTTATTTTCTTAGCTGAAAAAAAAAACTTACTCTGTACAATATTTACTTCTTGACCAATATTAGAAGTTTCTGCAAAAAAATAATACCGTGAACATTGTCAACATGTGCAGTAATTACAACACCTGCTTTTGCTATTATTATTTTTTAACTGTTAAAGCTAATAATTGAAAAATGATGTAGTTCCTTTATTAATCTTCACCCTTTTACCCTTGCTAAAAGAACACAATTTTGCTGTGTGATGTTGTTATTTATTGTGTTCCGTCATTCAGAGTGGTGTTGTATTCTTGTCATTCTTGCCTATACTGTTCCACTTAATAGATAGTGATTTAGCAGTCAGTTGTTCAGCCATGTTAAATTAGCCCTACAGATAAAATTGAATAATGTCCATAGTTTACTTTTTTTTAACTCTGGAAGGGGAAGGAGCACCACTAGCATGCATTAGTGTTGAAATTCTCTTGTAAACAAGAAGTGCATCTTGATCTCAAGATGTGTTCCAAAATTTTATGATGGTTTAAAAACCATTCTCTATTTCTCTAGTTGCCTGCTAGGAAAATTGTTTACAACATTGGAAGAGGTGCATTTGTACAAGAAATAAATTAGAACGCCTGGCTTCACTCTGTATTCTGATGTTGGTATTCAGAGTACTGTCCTTATCCACAGTGAATGAATTTTCCTTGCATATCTGTATGTGCAGCCATTTGTCTTTACTGTTTTGCATTGGATGTGTTTATTTTTTGATAACCATTTGTCCTGGTTTCTCCTGGGGTAATTTTCCCCAGTAGCCAGTATAGTGCTGTGTTTTGGATTTAACATGAGAATCATGTAATAACACGCTGATGTTTTGGTTGTTGCTAAGTGGTGCTTATACTAAGTCATGCACTTTTCAGCTTCCCCTGATCTGACAGCAAGGAGCTGCACAAGAAGCTGTGAGGGAGCATAGCTGGGACAGCTGACCCAAAGTGGACAGGGGGACATTCCATACCATGTGGCATCATAGTTGGTTGGGAGCAGGGGACTGGCTGGGCATCTGTCGGTGGTGAGCAGTTTCATCACTTGTTTTTCATGGGGTTTGTTTCTCTCTCTCTTTTTGTGCTTTTCCTTTTCATGATGTTTTTAATTCCTTCCCCACCCCTCACCCGACAATTGAACTGTTCTTGTCTCAACCCATGAGCTTTCTTACTTTTGCCCTTGCAAGTCTCTCCCGCATCCCACTGGGGAGGGAAGGTGAGTGAGCGGCTGTGTGCTGCTTACCAGCCAGATGTAAAGCACAACAACATTATTTTTTAACATTTCCTTGAAGAAGACAATTTTATTTTGAAAGAAATTGGGTTGTTAATTTATAAAAGAAACACAATAGAATTGAAAAAATGTGAATTGGTAGAAATATGTGAAAGTAAAGCATTATTGCTGTATATCAACTCTTTAATTAAGATACTAAAATGTTAAATTTTTGTCCAGAAGTAGTTATTGTAACAGACCTCTTTCTGAGCTTGCATGTAATCTTTTTAATGGTGAAGGATTGATATAGCCTGTAAGGTACAGCAGGTGCTGAGCCTTGCTGCCACTGCTATGTTTAAATATGCATGTGCTTTTTGAAAGGGAGATCTCCTCTCGTCCTTAAACACACATCTAAAAAGAGTACATATGGTACCTTTAACCACATTCCATAAAACAAATTATCTACACCCTTTACATATGGCAAAAGATAGGGTTTTACGCTGTGCAGCAGATGCTTGTACAGAATTCGGGGTCCTTGTGTGCCTATTGCTTGGGAGGGTCATCGTAACCGTCTCCGGTTAGTACTTAGGGCAGAGATACTAATGTAAGCCGAGGAGTGGATCACACCAGAAGCTGTGAAAGGCTGAGGAGGCGCCTCTCTGCGGAATGTAATGAGGGGAAAGCTTGCATGGTCCTGGTGGGGTTACTGTCCCTTGCTCCTCCCCAGGACATCTACTAGGGGATAATTATGTTCTGTGCCAACTGTTTCTGAGTGTCCCTCGAGGTTTTAAACCTTGGGGAGACTGAATTATGTGCTGGATGAACATCACAGATCCATAACTAATTCTCAGCAGAATCCACATGATTGGAAATATGGGAATTGAGAAATAACTTAGGTTATGAAGGGATTTCCAAGCAAATTGTTTTCCCCGCTGCCTTGCTTCAAGTTTCTCCCAGCAGTCAGATGCAATCCACTCAAAAAAATTTTCTGATTCCAGGCATAATTTGGCTTCAAATTACTAAACCTCTCTCAAAATATCTCCTACTATAATTCTAAATCTTGGACTGTTGTCACATAAATCTTGAGATCTGTGACATATGAAGAGACTGTGGGGTAGTCTGGAGCTTTTTTTATGATAACATGATCATCCCAGAGTGTTATATTCTCTCCTGATCATGTATTTTTCAGTAATGAAAACCCTTCCTCAAAATAGCTTTTAGAAAGTGGAATTTTATAAATTGTGTTTTATTTATGTGGAAAAATAATTCTTCATTATCTTTTGACCAGCAAATGTCTTTATATATTCAGATAAACATGTATGCATTTTTTCCCTTCCCTGAAAATTTGCTGTACTGTAATTGGCTCCACTGTGGGATGCATCAGATGTACAAGTTGATTTCTAATACATAAGTAAATAGAAATTCATCATAAATATGTCTAAGGGGAAAAAAAATGAATTGAAGGGAGCCATTAATAGAGAGACAGCGATGAAGGTGACTTTGCTATTTTGGCTACTACACCTGGGATAATCCCTTTCAGTGTTGCGCAGGATCCCAGTGTAATTCCAAGCAAACAGGCCTTGAACATCCACACACTGAAATGACTAAATAGGTTTCTATATTTAAGTTGGAACAATATTGTTTCTAATTAAAAACTCTCTTAATAGAGCACTTGATGCTCAAAAAGTCAGGTTAATGTAAGCTGAGCTGAGCTGGCTGTTGAAGGAGAGCAAGATCCTCTTTGTTCATGCTTTTTAACTATTACTCTGGACAAAAAAGTTGCCGATGTTAAATTGTTTCTCATTCTTGTGGACATGTGTTAAGCATTTGGGGTCTTTCTGCTTCTTGTTTTTAAGATGAAAGCTGAAACTTTAGATGCTAAAGAGCAGACAAGTATCAGTTATCTGTAGGGATATATTCCAATTTCTGGATTAATCGTGGTGTTGATACCATCTGTGTATAAGACAGCTGAGTCCATAAAGACTGTGGTGTTGCAAAAACATTATTTTTCTTTTCTGGGGGGAGGGGAAGTTGGTTTTGCCGCAGATTGCCCGTGCAGCTCATTCACAGTACGCCAGGTAGGTTTGTTCAGGGCAGGGAGCTGCCTGCGGGCCATCCTGGATGCAGCAGCACGCCCAGCTAATAGCCCCCCTCCCTGCCCCGGAGTACCTGGCAGGCAAAACGGGGAGCACGCAAGCAGCTCTGCGCAAATGGGAGCGGGTCTGGCTGCGCTGACGTCTCTGGCTTGATGCTGGTCATGCCAGGTGCAGGTCGTCTGGGCATCGTCACTGTGTGGTCCTGCTGCGTGAGTTCTCCCATTACTCTGTGTAATGGAAAATGGGTTGTGCTGCTTCATTCCTTTGACGTCACTCTAAAAAACCAGGGATGCTTCATTGTGCTGAGATGACTTGTACCACACGCTCAGTAATGGCATTATCTAAATTAATTTAGTGGGAGCAACAGTGCATTTTCCAAACCTTTGTTTCTTCTTAACTTCCAGGTTTTCCGAAAGAAGGCAGTAGAGCTTGGAGAGAAATTGCTACCTGCTTTCAACACTCCCACTGGGATACCTTGGGCATTGCTTAATATTAAGAGGTAAAACAACTGCTTTTTGGTGACTAGAGCATATAAAAAGTTATGTTGAAAAAGTCTTTTACAATTGCTACACAGGTTTTGTCTTCCTATCTAGGTAAAAGTTGACACAAGATCTTTGGTTGTACAGTTTACGTTAGGAAATTTAAGTAGATATAAATTGCACATACAAGAATGCATATAGAAATATATTTATTCACCTCAGAATCAGGTGAATATGGCAGATATTTTGTCACTTAGTATGCTGCTCATTGCTCTTCCTGAAGTCCTCTATTGCTTTTAGTATTGTTTTAAGTAGGGTAAGAGGAAAAGGACATGTGCTACGCGGAAAAGGGAAGGTTTCCAGCCACTTTGTACTCTTATTTTTACCTGTTCTCAAATGTAGTATCAGCGTTATCCTTCAGTCCTATCAAGAAACGAGTGTAATATCTGCTACAAGTGGCTCACTGTTGGGCACTGTCTCCCAAGGGCTGGGTTTGCCTTGGCCAGCTGTGCTTTGCAGGCAGCTGCCTGTTTGCTGTAGGAGATGCAGGCTCTCCCGAAGTCACTCTGGCCTCCAGTGTCTGACTCCAGACAGCTGTCAGCAATTCCTCGATCTGCCCCCCAGGGCTGCCAGCAGTGATACCGTGCTGGTAAAGAAAGCGTTTTCTTTGCGCTGCCTGTGGGGAGAATGTTGAAAGTTACACCTGTGGGGTGTATTTGTGCATTCGTGAGGACACCTCAGCTTTCTTCATACTGTGGATAAACCCCAGCACCACCTGCCACAAGAGCACGAATCAAGGAACATCTCACACGTGTGCGTGATGGTGGTGTGGGGTTTTGTGTGATTCCTCCTTAAGAGTCAGCATCTTCCACTGTTTTCTGCTTGATCTGTATTTATGGGTGCACCTTTTCCCCAGAGTGGGACGTACACTTGCATCCTTGCTTCGTTGGCTGTGTTTGCTGCAGGCATCCCAGTAAACTGCTCAGAGCCAGTCCTACAGTTCAGACAGGCTTGTCTCCCACCTTCGTTTCAAACAGAAGTGAGGCAGGAGGCAAAAAACATGGCAGTTAATGCCTCCTGAACTTTGTCGTCATTGAAAGGGTGATTAACTGCTGCCTGGCGACGGTCCTTGGACTTCGGTTGGTTACTGACGTGCACGCTAATAATGTCTTCTCAACAGACTTTAATGAGTTCTGCACAAGTTCAGTAGCACAATGGCTTGATGTTTGTTGGTTATTTGCCGTTACGGCTGTTGCAACAACTTCTGACTATGAACCCCCAGCGTATGTTTGTAATTGCAACACAACAGTACCTTGCTCATAGTATATGTAAACATATTTAAGGTGTTTGGGCTAAAAATTTGCCTTATGTAGCCCTTGTCTAAATTCCTGCTTATCTACTAAATATATCAATGGTTTTTGCAAAGAGTTCAAGTCCTGTGGTAGGTCTGTATGGGTTTGTTCCTAGCTTCTCACAAGAGCTGCTGTGGTGGACTACAAATATCAGCCACAAACACTACAGAGTGGTGATGCCAAAGGGATTCATTAGTTACCTTGCACCTAAGTGGAAGAGGATTTCTGCCGAGATAACTTCCTTTGCTGTGGCAGAAAGAGTTACACTGAACGCTGGGTTCTTGGTTATTCATCCTGAATCTTTGCACATCTGTCTAGATTTGACCTTCAATAGATGACCCTTCCGTAATACTGTGCGTAAACAAATACGCTGTCATCCAGGCTTAGGAAATGCTAAGCCACCGCAGCCTACATATATTACAGGTCTAATATGCCTCATTTCTGATTAGTATTTTATTGGATTTCATTTTGATTTATGCTTCAAATTGGAGAATAGATTGTGGGTGTCAGTGGTTATTTTTAAGTTACTATTTTTGGATTAGCAGATGAGCTGGATATTTGTTTCACTATGCAAATGTTCTTCACAAAATAGTTTGTTTTCTCTGTTCATCCCGTATCATCCTAGCCAGACTTCCTCTCTCCTCAGGTGCCTCCGTGTGTAAACATACACGTGCTTTTGTCCGAGTATGGCCTTCCGTACCAAGGGCATCCATCTCAAGTCTCGTACTCTTCTCCTGCTTCTTTCCTCATGACTTAATGACCATGGGACACTAACTTAGATAATTAGAACCCTAATTATCAAGTATGTTAAAAAGCTCACTGTACTATTCTTCAGCTAAAATTATGAGCCAATTTTTGAGTGTGTTTATAAAAATTTCCTTTTATCTCTGGATTACATTTTAAGTCATTAGATTGATAGCTTGTACTGAGATTTCCTTTTCTTTCTTTCTAAACGTTTCAGTTGCATTTCCGTATTTCTGGTGTTCTTGATACTGCTCTGTATCTTCAGTTAATCTTCAGCATCTGTTTCTCACTTCTGCTTATGCTGCCAAATTTGAAGTTCCTTTTACAGCTCGCTTATTCGAGTAACCAGCGTTGTGTAATACTTGTTGACTGTTCTGGCTGGAAACCCTGGTACAAAGAGAGGTTGCAGAGGAAAAATGTGGGTAAAGCAGTGGTGGCTTTTGAGACGTCTTCTGGTGATAAGGACCACAAGCTGTCAAAGACACTTCTATTCATTTACTTATTTAATTACTTGCCTACCTGTTTCTTTTCCTCCCTCACCCAAATCCTTTGTTTAGGTACTCTGTCTTCAGGACTTCTAAAACAGCAACCGTAACAGGTTTTTAAAATACCGCTAGTTCGTGATCCTTTATTTTTCTTCTCAGTGCGCTGTGACAAGCTGGCTTCTTCATGCTGAAGTTTTCATTTCCCTTTCTCTCTAAAAGCTTTAAGTAATTGATGACTAAGCAATCAGATTGCTTGTGTATACCTGTAATATGCATCTCGGACTTACAGAAATGAAAAAATCTGAAATTATAATGCTGTGACTTAAGTAATTTTAACTATTATCTTGCTTGAATCATGTTTATATTTTTAATGTATCTATTTATTTTTACCCCTGTAACTATTAAAAAAGCAGCTGTGTGGGACTTATGTGTGTGGATGACACCCAGCTGTGAAACACAGAGAAGAACCTAGGTTGTTGATAGTCTGTTGGATCAGTCAGAAATAAACTTATGAGTATTCAGAAATGTTCCTGTACAATATTTTTTCTCTTTTGGATGGAAATTGTCTGGGTTTTTTGCCCTTTGAAAGCAGACCTGTATTCTTTTTTAGTCACTATTAGATCCAATAAGACCACATTACTACTTTCTAATAAGTAACCCAGAAGCATTCTTATATGAAAGAACGTATTTTCCATAAAATGTTTGCTCTCTGTACATTGACCAATTGAGTAGCTGTTCTAAGGGTATTTATTACCCCTCATGTGCTACTATGTAGCAGTACTGTTAGATATTAAGGTGCCTGGTTTTTTATGAAGAATCAATGTATTATATAACCTCTAAGTGCATCTGAAACGTTGAAAAATAGTTATGCCTTTGTTAATGAAAAAGTATCTGACTGGGCTGAATAGTATTGTTATTTCTGGAAATCATTTTTTTGGATGTCCAGCTTGTTTGCAAGTGCTGTTGTGGCTGCAGAGGATACTGTGCTTGGTCTGCTGGTTCAGTGACAAAAGTGAATAACGTAAGCATTATGGATATAGGGAAGTTCTGTGCAGAAGGAAAACCTATGAGGTATGGGTGAAGTGGGTCAGAGCAGGGAAGCTTAACAGAAGTCACAAAGGAGAAGTTTGAAATGAATTTGATAAATTCGTATTAAAGTCAAACCACAGGGAGTGATAAGATTGACTCGACATAAACATACAATGTTTACTGTCTCGGATGTCAGCCTAGGATGTTTTGCCTTTTACACTTTAGCGTTTATTATACATAAATGATGGGCCTAAGTGGAATTCAACATTACATATTTTATGAAGTGAGATAGCAGCGAACTTGCTAAATTGTTTGAACAATGTAGTTACTCATTTGTAGGTAACTGAGGATGGAAGTGACACAGCTGCAATATTTATGTTGTTAGGATGTTGTTAGTGTGATTTTAAAGCAAGGTTCTCTTGATTTTTTTTTTTTAATTATCGTTTTTAAAAAGATCACGTTTTGTACAGAATAATTAAGTTATGTCACAGGCCTCTCCAAGCCTCAAAGCGTTCAAGGCTTGAACAGAAGATTCTTGGGGCTACTCAGCCATCAGAGCCGCTGCGTGGATTCACAAGAAGACACACCCACAACACCGCTTCAAATACAATATTTTTTTTCTCTCACTTCACTTGAAAAACAGAAAATAATAAGGAAAAATATGCTCATAATTTTTTATTTTGAGTGCTTCAAGTTTTACTATCAGGTTGAAAAGAGGGAAGACTTTGCTGTTTGTCATTGTAGGACCATACAGAAGCTGTGTTTAGATTGTATCTTTAATTTTATCCCTTCTGTCTAACTTGGGCATAATTTTAGAGGAAGGAATCAGAACTGCGTCAGAATGAAAAGCTAAATGTAGTAGTCTACTCTGCCTACTTAGTAAAATTTGTGTGTGTGTGGTTTTGGCAAATGCTCCGCTGAGGTTATAAATTAAAGTCATAATAGTAACAAAAAGGATTTGGATATTGAGTTAAAAGCTGAGATTTCCCCTATAAAAAAACAGGCCAGTTGAAACCAGAATTTGTCCTCCAGGCGTTTGGATCATAGCGTGGATTTGTATTAGCACTGGATGCAAAGAGATAAGAGATCCTAGCTGAACTTCACCCATCTACAAATTATTTGTCTGGTGTTAAACACATGTTTTGGGATAGAATTGTTGACTTTTAGAGATACTGATCTCTTTCCATTGACTAAAGAAGACCTTAGGCAAATAATTGAAAGAACTAACATTTTTAATTGAGAAGATGAATGCCATCCTAATTTATAAAGTAACCAGTGACAAGGATGATTTCAGAAATGGGTATGTCTTTTCAGCACTGCCATTTTGGGTGCTGGTTAACCCACTGATTCATTGCATGATTCATAAACAACTTTACATTTCTTGAGTCAGTACTAGATGCAAAATAAACT